CAGAAAAGATGGATAATCAGAGAAAGAAGAAGATAATGACATTGAAGAAGAAAAAGAAGAAAAAGAAGAAAAAGAAGAAGAAGAAGAAGAAAAGAAAGAAAAAAAAACAGAACAAAACAGAAGTATCAGAGAAAAAAAAACAAGAAAAGTTCAAGCGGAAGACGAAGAATAAAACATAAAAGAAAGAAAAGACGGTGATGATGATGATAGAGAAGAGAGGGAAGAAAAAAAGCAATGAGGCATGCAAGAGTATCATGACTTGCAACTTCCCAAGAAAACCAAACACACAAACGTACAAACAAACAAATAAACAAAATAAACAACAAATATGACGCAAGTAAACGAAAGAAAAAGAGAAAAAGAGAAACAAGAAACAGCGCAAGTAAACAGCATCGCAGAAGTAATTAGAATAAAACAAACAAACAAACAACGACAAACAAACAAATAAAAAATAGCACATGTTGGGAATAACTTGCAGTGGAATTAATGAGAAAAAATAAAAGGAAAAGAAAAGAAAAGAAAAAATAAATAATGATAACGACGAATATATATGGAATAAAAAGTAAATATAATAATTGGAATAATTATGTTATTGTTATTGTTATGTAATTGTTATTGTCATCACTGTTGTAATACTAATAAGGATGATGACGATAATAAAGATAGAGATAATAATGATGACGATATTAATAATAATATTAATGGTAATAATAATGATAATATAATGATAGCAATTATCATTATTATTATTACAATTAATCTTATTGTTATTATCTTTATTATCATTGTTATTATTATTACTATTATCATAATTGCGATTATTATTATTATAATATTTGTTATTCTCCTTCTTTATCTTTCGTCACTTTCTTCTTCTTCTTCTCATTATTATTGTTATTATTATTATTATTATCATTATCATTATTATTATTAATATTATCATTATTATCATTATTATCATTATTGTTATTATTATTATTATTATTATTATTATTATTATTATTATTATTATTATTATTACTATTATTACTATTATTATTAATATTATTATTATTATTATTATTATTATTATTATTATTATTATTATTATTATTATTATTACTATTATTATTATCATTCTTATTATTATTATCCTCCTCCTCCTCCTCCTCATCATCATCATCATCATCATTATTACTGCTATCATTATCCTTATTACAAATACTATTATCATTATCACCATTATTATAACCATTACAACTAATATCTTTATTAGTACCACCACAAATTTAAAATTCATAAATAAAAAAAATCACTCCTATTGATATTCCTAAGGATGGAAGGAAGACGTATCCTAGATGACTTGGCTCTGATAGAACCACTTCGGCTGCAAGAAATCTTATTATAGAGATTGCGTTAGACAGAAAAGTGTCGTGACAGGAAGAAGGAGGAAGAGGAGGGAGGAGAAGGAAGGAGGAAGGAGGAAGAGGAGAAGGAAGGGGAGAAGGAGGAAGAGGAGGAGGAGGAAAGAGAAGGAGGAAGAGGAGGAGAAAGGGGAGAAGGAGGAAGAGAAAAAGGAAGGGGAGAAGGAGGAAGGGGAAAGGGGAGAGGGAGGAAGAGGAGGAGGAGGAGGAGGAATGAGAAGGAGGAAGAGGAGGAGAAAGGGGAGCAAGAGGAAGAGGAGAAGGAGGAAGAGGTGGAGGAGGAAGGAGAAGGAGGAAGAGGAAAAGGAAGGGGAGAAGAAGGAAGAGGAGAAGGAAGGGGAGGAGGAGGAAGAGGAGAAGAAAGGGGAGAAGGTGGAAAAGGAAGAGGAGGAGGAGGTGGAAAAACAGGAAGATGAAGAGGAAGGGGAGAAGGAGGAAGAGGAGAAGGAGGAAGAGGTGGAGGAGGAGGGGGAAGAGGAGGAAGAGAAAGTGGAAAGGAGAGAGGAGAGGAGGAGAAAGGGGAGAAGGTGGAAAAGGAAGAGGAGGAGGAAGGAGGAAGAGGAGAAGGAGGTGGAAGAAGAAGAAGAGCAGGAGGAGGTGGAAGAGGATTATTACTATATTATTATTATTATTACTATTATTATTATTATTATATTATTATTATTATTATTATTATTATTATTATCACTATCATTATAATAAATATTATCATTATTATCGTCATCTTTACAATTACCATTCTGCAAATAAAACCATTATTCTTACAATGATTTTCTTTTCTTTTACATCAAAGGTAATTCACTCTCGTTTTTTTTTTTTTTTTCGTCTTGGCTTTCCTTTTATTTCGTTAAATCTATCTGTTTAGTTTCTTTTGAAGTTTGGTTCTCATACAGAGTTTCATCAAGGCCTCTTTGAGCGGACATTAACAGGGCTTTTCACTGACCGCACATTTATTCATCCAGCGAACTCTCTCGGGCTTTCAGTCCGTTCTCTTCTTCGCGGATTACTTTTCTGTTTGATGTTTGGTAAGGCGCTTTGCAGACTACTGGCCGCGATGCACGCACACACGCACACGCACACGCACACGCACACACGCA